TGGTCAGAGGGCCCGGTGGCGCCAGTGTCCGGCAGCCTCGCCTCTGTCAGTGCGCCCCAGGGTGGCTGTGGCTACAATGTAGCTTGCCATCAGCAATGTGTGAATGTGTGTGTGAATGGGTGGACGGCTGGATGTGTAAAGCGCTTTGGGGTCCTTAGGGACTAGTAAAGCGCTATACAAATAGAGGCCATTTACTATTTTATTTTCTCTCATTGGGAAAAATGAATTGTGATACTGGAGATTGGAGTTGCTCACCATCAAGATGGTGCTGGAAGAATTACAATTGGCTGAGTGGAGACTGGCTTGAGGACACGGATTGGACGGACCAAACTCCCGAGAGGATGAATGCATGACAAGCCTTGTGGGCCCTTTTCTTTCTTTGCTTCATCTTCTCCATTATCTACAGACTTGGATCATTAAACCAGATGCTTTGTCCAGACCGTTCTCCTCCATGGATAACAAACCCGAAGATGAAACCATCCTACCTCCATCTTGTATCACTGGCTCTCTAACACTGGAAATCATGTCTTTAGAGGATGCTTAGAGGAAGGAACCGGATCCAAGCGGTGGACACCCCAACCAGCTCCACGTGCCCTGCATCCTCTTGAAAAATATTCATTGGGTACTTACAGCAAGATTTTTGTGTCTTTCATACCAAATCTTTTCTTCACAATCTGTTCTGGTGACCCGCTTTAATGACAGAAATCTGAGAATATGTCCTTGCCTGTTCACAGAATAAACCTTCCAAAACCCTGCAAGAAGGTTTGTTGAGGCCTCTTCCCACTTCAAGCTAACCTTGGTCTCATGTAGCCTGAAACATGAGTTATACTTACCACCATTAACCGGTTTTCCAAAGCAGCCCATTTTGTTGCTCTCCTGAAGCTTTTGTCCATCATCAAAACAGCCCAGCTCCTCATTAAACATGTCTTCTGACTTCATGGCATTCCCAGTGATGTCGTGTCTAATATTGACCCTCAAGGTACATCTCCAGTATGGAAGGAGTTCTGTTCAGGGCATGAGCTCAGGTTAGTTTATCCTCTGGTTTCCATCCACAGAGAAACACAGCGTATAAAACAGGAGCTAGAATTCGTACTCTGCTGCATTGCCTGTAGAATACAATCCACCTGGAGGGGAATAAGGTGGAATATGGCCATAACACGATGACATCCTCAGCCACGGGTCTGTCACTGTTTGAGGCATCCTTTGGCTTCCCCTCTGCTTGAGGGTGAACTAATGGTGCCCTCAGCACAGTATCATTTCCACAGATGTTGCTATCTATGGAAAGCAATCTAATCTGAACTCCTGAGAACCAGAGATCAAAATAAACGTGTAGTCGATCATAATCGAACTCCTGCACCAGCCTATCAACCAGGTCAAAAGGTTTGTTTTTCCACAGAGAACATTCCCCTCCACATGCAATCAAAGAAACCCAATTTCACCAAACATCTTGAAGTTGTTTCTGGCTCTCTGCCTCATCTCT